AGAAAAGGCGTATGCGAGTAGGCGTGAATGATCATGAATAATGCTGTGATTCACACCTGAGAAGACAAAGACCCACATAATGAGCCTTTCAGTCAGGTGTGTGACTGAGAGGGAAGAGTTACAAGAAAGAATGTGAGGAAAAAAGTATATATTATTATATAAAAATTAGTATATATAAGTATATAAAAGGAAGAAGTTTATATATATTTTTTGTTTGTAGTTTATTTAGAATATATATAACTATCACATAAAATAACTTGAGATTCACTTGTGAGTGCATTTAAACAGTTTATTAGGAACAAAACAAAACAAAAAAACAACAACATAAGAGTCAAGACGTCGTAGGTTCAATATCCAAAACAGCGGCAGGAAACTTGAAGACAGGAAAACTTAAGACAGCAGAAACTGCATGAAAAAACAAATGTGGAGTACCACCACAATGATCTGACAAAGACAGAGCAACAGGTTCTTTTACACTGTTATTCTCACATCTGAAATAAAAAAGCAAGCATGCTGTTTACACAAACTACATTATTTACATTATTGTGATGTTCACTGAAAATAACAACAAAGAAACAAAATAGAAATAGAAACAAAGAACACAATTACCACATAGCACACATATTTTACCATACAGTAAATCAATCAAATTAAAGTAACATCTGTAAAATAGTGAATTCACACTTACTCTATGAGATTCTGAATGGAGATGAAAACTGAACGAGACCTGCGTCCTCTTCCTGTGTGAGATCCAGGTGAAGGTAAGAGTGGTGTATTCAGTCCTAAAAGAATTTCATAAACAATCGTTAGCATTTTTTTAACAGTAGCCTACCTTAGTATATGCATACTTCATTAGAAAACAGAATGTCAATAACAAAGAAACTACATTCTAACACTATCAACCACAAATAATATAACCATATAGACATAATAAACGTACAATTACTATACACTATACTGTGCACTTAGTATGATTTTCCAGTGAACTCAAAACTGAACGACACTCGCGTGCATTTCTTGTGCAAGATGCCGATAAGCGATTAGTCAACAGAAGAGACGGACGGCAGCGCATGAGTGTTTTGGCTGTTTACACAAACTACATTATTTACATTATTGTGATGTTCACTGAAAATAACAACAAAGAAACAAAATAGAAATAGAAACAAAGAACACAATTACCACATAGCACACATATTTTACCATACAGTAAATCAATCAAATTAAAGTAACATCTGTAAAATAGTGAATTCACACTTACTCTATGAGATTCTGAATGGAGATGAAAACTGAACGAGACCTGCGTCCTCTTCCTGTGTGAGATCCAGGTGAAGGTAAGAGTGGTGTATTCAGTCCTAAAAGAATTTCATAAACAATCGTTAGCATTTTTTTAACAGTAGCCTACCTTAGTATATGCATACTTCATTAGAAAACAGAATGTCAATAACAAAGAAACTACATTCTAACACTATCAACCACAAATAATATAACCATATAGACATAATAAACGTACAATTACTATACACTATACTGTGCACTTAGTATGATTTTCCAGTGAACTCAAAACTGAACGACACTCGCGTGCATTTCTTGTGCAAGATGCCGATAAGCGATTAGTCAACAGAAGAGACGGACGGCAGCGCGTGAGTGTTTTGCTTAATACTTGTTTGTAGATCTGTTGTTTAAATTATTACTTGCTGCTAGGAAGAAATATTTTTCTACCTATTTCTACTTTGTATTTTCACTGTAGTTTGTATTTTTGATTGCACTTACTGGTAATTATAATAATTGCCGTCGGCTAAGGAGCCTGTGTTATTTGCATTGCTCCCTTCCTGCACTAAAGTGCGAACTGTAGTTTCGATTTGAGCAACTGCCCTGCTATAGGCTATTGTCTGTGCTAATTAGAATGGAGGCCACAGCTGTTTTCACTTTAGTCTCTTAGACTGTGTATGTCTTTGATGTCTGTGCACTGTTCAGCGCAGCGTTCAGCCCTCGTGTTCAGCCTCCACGTGTAAAGGCCGACGAGTGTAAAGAACTGCGACTTCACTGAACAACGAAACCAGCAACACACTTAAGTACTATTTTTATCTTCCCTTTACACACTCTCCTTTTCTGTCCTCTTTTCTACTCCTCTATCATGTGTTTCCAAAACATTCCGGTTGTCTCGCACCAGCTAACCCCTGGTTATCCGATGATCTTCGTGAGCATCGGACCAAACTCAGGGCA